TGGAGACCACATGCAAAAATTTGGGCGCTTTTGAACGAAAAAATCATTTTTCACCCGAAAAAGTCACTTACGTCAGTCTTGCACTAAGCCATTCAATTAGGCATTTTGTACTAACTAGGGATATTTAACTGTATGGTTTTTGTGATGATCTATTTATTTGAATATTATCTATTTATTAATTTTTTTGCATACACATAATTTCGTATTTTGATTGAGCTTACCTAGCTCTTAGGCTTAACATGTTTAAATAGAGTGTTGATTGATTGATTATGGTTTCTTTGTGACAACAGGAGAGCTCTGAATGTGTCGTCAGAAACCAATGTCCCACTTATGACCCATCACACATTTTCCACAATTCCTGTTCAGCAAACAGGTGAGTTTTTTAAAGTTTCATTGCTCTACAGGATAATTTAACTGACATGACTTGTAATCTTGGCAACCACAGAAATGTTTACTTGACTGGTTACAAAAAGTACACATAAACTACATATTTGACAGAATCTGATCAATGATATAATAATATTTAGTATATATGAAAAATGGCCTCTGTTTGGCTTGAAAATATGCTCGAATATTATTTTTTCTGCAGACATACATACATACATTATCTGTTCCAAGAGGCAAATAGTGTTCTGAGAGCTTAAGCTTGAGGAAAACTGTAAACTTTGAGGAGCAGATTATGTCCAACTGAAGGAGAAGTATCTGTCCGTGAGCATATTTTCTTGCCAAATGGAGGCTATTGTGTTGATTAATGTTCTTCAAATATTTTTCATGTGGTTTTGAGAATTGGGGATTCCCCAGTTTTAGCTGGGACACATTCAGTCACGTGACTTATTTAGACCAATCAAGCAAAAATATTTGATGGATTGTAACAAGTAATATCGTATGGATACAAGTGCAAATTATTTACCCTATGAGTGACATTGACAAATTCTCTCAGTATGAACAAATTTTCAAATATTCTGAGTAGTGCCACTAATTAAAAGTACTACTAATAGAATTTTTACATTGACCTTTCATATGACCGATCATTTATTATATGAGTGAGAAAATTATAAAATACTCTGTAATGTGGGCGCATTTATTAGCACTGCAGTTCAAATTTAACAAAATGACTACAAATTGGCCTGCTGTCACACAAATAATCACATGAACAGAAGCAATTTGCCTGGTAAACGTAACATTTGCTTGCAATGCTTATTGTTGATCTGTCAAGTTGAGTTGTTTGTTGAGCTTTGTGTCAATTCTTGACATAATTTTATTGGAGCTTTGGCTAGATTCTTGAATTAAGACTTTCACTAATTCAATGTGGGTTTCTTTTAACCAAAGTATCCATTGGATGATTTCTAACTAACTAACTGTGATGTACAAGAATCCCATCCCATAAGGAAGGGGCAGGGGTGGGCGTAGCAATGCTTATAGCCACATCATGTTACAGAAGCTGTAGTTGTGCCCCGGCACTACTGAGGCTCGGATACAAGGCGTTTCTTGTGTTCACTACTATTAGGCGTTAAATCAATACCTTTTAATTATGATTTATTTGTTTTTCACTGGTGTTGATTTAGGACAACAAAAAATGTCGTGTCCAGGAAGCCTACGTGCTGGAGATATATACACCCACTGTCTTCATGGCTGGCCAAGCACCATCATCAACCCACTGAATAGACAAATCCACCGTGAAGTGCACGATGCTCGCAAGCGAGGGGTACTTTTTGACGTGGGCCATGGATGTGGGTCGTTCTCGTGGACTGTAGCAGAGATATGTGCGAAAGAGGGCTTTTGGCCAGACATAATCAGTTCTGATTTGCACGTGGAATCTGTAGATGGTCCCGCGTACGATTTGTTGACTGTGATGACGAAAATGCTGCACGTGGGAATGCCTTTGATTGAAGTTATCAAAGCTGTTACTATGACACCAGCTGTTGCCATTGGCCGAAACGATGTGATTGGCTCGTTAAGCCATGGTCGTGTAGCAGATATCACAATTTTACGTCTTGAAGATGTTGACATTGATCTTGAAGATTGTCACGCGCAGTTAAGAAGGATTAAACAGCGTTTCTTGCCTGTTGCGGTGTTTAAGAATGGTGTTCGTTTCAAGACTACCATGCCAAACTCGTTTCCGAATACCAGTAAATGGAAAGATTTAGCCTCGTTACAAGATGACCTTGTTGTCAAAGATGAAGCCTAGTTACATTTTAACAACATAAAATGTTTTACCAAATGAAACTTGTAGAATCAAGATCAGTGATTTAGATACAACTTCACTTTGCTCGTCAACCTCGTTTCCAGGGTCTCTCTCGCTCCGGTAGGGCGGGAAGATGAGAAATGCTGGGAACGAGGTTGTCTGTTCCTTACTCTTGTTATGTTGTTTATCCGTTCCCTATATCTCTAAGACAGAATTTTTTTTTTTTTCATAAATGGCGATATTACTATGACACATATTCATTAATTGTTTTTCTTTTGATTTTATGAGTATTAGCATGTTAATATGAAATTTGAAATATAAGAAATTGTCCTTGTTGTGTCATCTTTGTATTGTAAAGCAGGAACAACGTCTGGCAATCAACACAGACAGTAAAATGAGGTGCGAAGGATTCGGCAGACGGTGGAATGAAAAGAATGACATTTCTGTAGACCAAAAAGATAACGCATTGCTCGTTTTAAGAACTGATTAAAGGCGCGAACAACTTAAAACCGTGTGTGATTCAATTAGTGCGAATGAAACGGGATGGGGTGTGGTCGGATTGCGCGCTTGTTTTCGCGCGATTTTCCTCGCGCGCTCGCTCAGTTCGCTTTTTGGTAAGAGAAAGATAGAGAAACTAGGCTTAAAGAAGTGAACCGAGTAAAAGAACGACCCAAGAATATATCCATTCGGCTGACGTGATGTTACTATACGACTATCCTGAGTTCACAGAAGCTCCAACTGAACAACAAGAATAATTTCTGCGAGAGAAAGATTAACAAAAGGCTTTTGAGACCACCCCCGCTGTGTACCGGACGAAATTTCAGCGGTTGCGAAAATAAGCCTGAACAAAAATTCAAACTACTTTGGTTCCAGAGGCTTTCTCTTTTAATTTACACGTTAAGAGACCCGCTTTTTCAATTCAGTTTCAGAAAAAAGACAAAAACCTCCGAGACTAGAGAAATTCAGGCTTGAATGGGATTCGAACGGGTGACCTGTGTGATACCAGTGCAGTACTCTACCAACTGAGTTTTCAAGCCAGCTAGGAGCTGGCTATATGAATTTGTGATATATCTGTAGAGGTGAAGATGTGAAAGAGAATATATGAGGAAAATCTTTGTCCCGCAGTACAAATATATGTTTCTTATAAATATCTTCAGGCTGGAAGTTTTTTAATTTTAATTTTTTGTAGTTTACTTCTAGTGAATTGGGCTTATTTTGGCAACTGCCCATTAAATTGCGTTCAAAAATAACTGCGGTGATGTCTCATGCCTTTGCACGTCTTGTGGAAAAGAGAAAAAAGTGTGAATAAGTTCAAAGTTTTAAGAAGACAATCATTATAGCTAGCCAGAAATAGGATCGGATAATATTATATATATTGATAGGGTCTACTATGGCCCAGCTCCTAACTATTTTTCCCGAGAATTTGATAAATGACTGGATAAAGAGAAACGATTGGGCTTAAAAGCAAAAAGATTTCAAGTCAAGTTTGCCAAAAAGGAACGACGAGGATGGGATTCGAACCCACGCGTGCAGAGCACATTGGATTAGC